AACCGCCGGCCCCAGAGGGATCGGGGTGCACCAGCATCGCGGGAACCGCCGGCCCCAGAGGGATCGAGGCGCTCCGGCATCGCGGGAACCGCTGGCCCCAGGGGATCGGGGCATCCCAGCATCACAGGAACCGTTGGCCCCGGAAGGACCGGGGTGCCCCCACATCGTGGGAACCGCCGGCCCCGGACGTTTGCTGCAGCTCTCAGCCAAAACTGGAAGTGCCGGGCACTAACACGAGGCGGAGGGAGGCAGAAGGACATGCTACCCCTCTGCAAAGCAACAGTCGTCGGGTGGGTGTCGCAGCTTGCGCTAAGGCCGAGGAGAGGGTCTGAGGTCTACGCTATATGGCAGCTGCATGTAACTCGTATGCTTATGCTCCGTTTTCTTTAAAGGTGCTTGGTATAACTTTAGATATATAATATACATGTAATATTGCTAATAGTCAAGCATAAGAATAAAGGTGCAGACATACCATAAATACTGATGCTTCGATTTTTTTTTTTTTTTTACACTATCAGACCTAGATGAATGCAATTTCCTATTCACATTATAAAGCAGCCCCAAATTCTATAATTTAAAATAGTGTCGTAAACAAAGAGGAGGAAGGAGTTGGTTATGATCTGATTTTGCTTAATCCGTTTTCCTTGGAAAAAAAAAAATGATCAAAAAATTCTAAGGCACTCAGGAAAGCCGCATACAATCGATGGACTGCTCTGTTCTCACTTTACATTCAATATTTTAAAGGGGTTACTTTTTTTTTTCTCGGAAGAATACAATCATTATCCACATAACATTTTCAAACATATCATTAATCCTCCACACACAGGAAACATTAGTGCAAAATGCTTGCCCTCATCTACCAGATAAGGAAAAACCCAACGCCCTTTCACATTTTAGAAGTTTGCCTTCCTAATAATAATAATTAATAAAACAAACAAACCTAAATCGAAAAAAAAAAAAAAAAGGAAAGAAAGAAAGAAAAAAAACCCCCAAAATATACAGGAAGTTGTGCTAGGTATAAAAATATATTTTTTCACTGTGCAACTTGACTCTCTTCAGATTCTCTGTCCTAAGCCATTCTACGTCATTCAAGTACTTCTGCTGCTACGTCCACCTCGGTCTCCCCGTGCGGCCGTGGGGACATCTGCCCGGGAGTCGGTTTGGTCCAGCACACCGTCAGCCACCCGCGAATCCCGGCGGCGGACGCGCCAAAAAGGAGGAGGAATCCCTTTTGGGACCATCACGGCTACCCACGGGCACAGGCGGGAGGGACGGCTCCCGGCGCCCGGCTCCTGCCCCGGCTCGTCCAGCCCCGGGCGCAGCAAAGACGAC